TTAAACAGTTTAGTATTTGTTGGGGTTACAAATTAATATGTTCAACAAAAGTCATAAATGTAATGCAGATAGCACTGCTTCCAAACTGAGTACCTATTGACATAAATCAGTTTGGATATACTGAAGAACTATAAACCCAGATGTTAAGATTGAGGCCCAAAAGACAGCCACAACCCCAAGGACTTGCTTATTGAAAATCCTTTTATTGAACATAGCCGGTTAGGCCTCCAGACAGAGTGACCCAGGAATACTCGATTATTTAAGATTACATAATTGCAGGACAGGAAACCTGGAGCATTGATAATATTAGTTTTAATGGCTATCTGGTGCTTAATAGCTATGCAGTTCCTAGCAGTGGAAAGGGTTGCCCAAAAGCAGGGATGGCTCTTATGTTCTCTACTGCTAGGCTAGGGTCAAATGGCTGCCACCTTGTGACAAAATTGCTATGGCTGCCTTACTTGTTATCAGGTCAAGCACTTATTTGATTATCAATTCCTATATTCCTCCGTTGTCTTCCAAAAATCAAATAACTCAAATGTGGAACCAATTGGAACTTTATATTACAAACTTAGAATCCATAGCCCCCAATGCATACGTGGTAGTTGTGGGAGACCTGAATGCAAGAACTGGATTGAACAATGACGTCCTTTACTCTTCCAATGTCTGGGGTACAGACTCTGTAGAGAATCACAACCTGATGAATTATAGAACATCAAAAGATCTATAGATCAGTTATAGTGGGATATACCTGGCACGGATGGTAGAATTTTTGCCAGTCTCTGTGGCCAGCATCTTCAGAGGACAGAGACTGGCGAAACGTTAGGAAGAACAACCTTCAGAACACGGCCAAAGAGCCCGAAAAACCCACAACAACCATCTTACTCTTTATATTGTAAATGACAATGAAATGTTTGATAGTTGTGCAGAATTTACTTTTGTTTCAGGCAGGGGTAGCAGTGTGGTAGACTATACGTTAATTTCAGAATATATGTTAATTTCTCCTTTAGCCAGATTGGTTAAGAAATTCTCTGTCAGACATAGAACAGATAGCGATAATTTACCCCTAATTTTAACCTTGTCACTTCTAAACCCAATACATCTTTCCCCGAAGACCATTTAGGTGACAGTGTCTTACCTATACGACACAAATGTCTAATTTGGACAGATGAAGTTAATGTAAAAATCTCCAGTTTCTTAAAATCTCCTCCCATTGAGAAATTAAGAAACTTAATAACAGTACCTATGGAATCTACTTTGATTTCCATCGTGACAAACTACAACTCCCTAGTTTTAACAATACAATCTGTTCTAAGCCCCAAAGAAGTTCATACCCATAAACAACCAGGAAGATGCACTCCTAAATGGTTTGATAAGGAATGCTCCCATAAAAATACCAACTTAGAGAAATATACATGCAGTATGGGAAGAGGAATCTGGGAGTTCTCCCCCAAGAGTACTATGTAGTTAAAAACCAATATAAAACCCTGATTGCCCAGAAAAACAATCAATTCAAAAACAATGGAACATCTTGATAGATTCTGTGCTAAACAAAGATTCTAAACTATTCTGGGCCATGGTCTCTGGAGCACTAGGCACTCGAACAGGATCAGCTTGCTGTAGTATCCCAGCGAATATATGGGAACAGTATTTTACCAAAATATTTGAGGAAACTAAACCCTCACAAACTGTTAACATCATATCCTTAGATCTAAACAAATTGCCAAACTGAGACCCAGTAACCGAAAATGAAATAAGGCCATTAATAGCTTGCCTAAAATCAGGGAAGGCACCGGGACCCGATCTAATACCAGCAGAGTCATTAAAGACCAATGTAGACTGGTGGGGCCCCCTTTTATCTCATCTATTTACATTCATTAATAACACCAGGCAAATTCCATACTCCTGGTTAGAGGCAATAGTGATACCAATCTATAAGAAGGGGGACAAAGACGAACCCTCAAATTATAGACCATTAGCCTTCTGTCAACAGTGGGCAAGCTTTACACTAGATATCTTAATAATAGATTAATCACATGGACTGAGGAGGAGGATATCTGAGGAGGAGGAATGAACAGGCTGGTTTTAGGAAGAACTGCTCCACTTTTGACCACTGTATAGTACTGAATCACCTTGCAGAGAAGTATATGGGCTGTCATGGGAATGGCCTGTTTGCAGCTTTTATTGATTTAAAGTCTGCCTTTGACTCAATACCCAGAGGAAATATATATCGGAAAAACTCTACTCTTCCTCGATTGATAAGAGGCTATTATAGCTTATCAGAAGCCTCTACCAACAGACCACAATTAGGGTAAGATGTGGAGTCCATGGGAATCTATCTAACCCCATTCAGGCAGAGAGAGGGGTTCACCAAGGTTGTATTCTGGTGCCTACATTATTTAATCTGTACCTAAATGACCTCCCTAAAATCTGCACAGCACCTGAATTTCCCCCACATGAAACTGGCTAAAATCAATGTGCCCTTACTACTATACACAGATGAGGCAGTTATCATCTCACTATCAGAAGTTGGTCTTAAACAAATTTTATGTGCATTTATGAGTTACTGCAGGAACATCTTATTAACAATTAACTTCGAGAAAACAAAAACAATTGTTTTCTCTAGGCATAGTAAAGTTAAAGAATGGGCTATTGAGGGCCAGCATATATAGCAAGTTAAAACATTTAAATACTTGGGAATTGTCTTCTCACGTACCCTCTCCTGGTCTCACCAGAGACAAGCAGCAGTGCAGGTGGCTAATAATACCAGCAAAGTTCTTAGACAATACCACTATGTCGAGGGTGGACAGTTCATCCCTGCTGCTCTACAGATAGTTAAGTACAAAATTGTTGCACAGCTCCTGTATGGGATTGCGATTTGAATAAATGGTTTCAATCCCTCAGTTGAAAGTGTTCTGTCAAACTCATTGCGACTCCTGTTCGCCATGCCAAGATGTGTCTCTTCAGCTGCCTTGCATTTTGTCATCTTCTAGGAATCATAATTATTATGCAGAAATCTCAAGAAGTAGAAGGTACTGGACCTTGTCTCCAGAAATCATTAACCACTTAATGGATGGTGGGAAACAGATAGGTGCAATGGAAACACTTACACTATGTGTATACTGACTTTCGAAATTTGCATTGAAAAGTGTATAATTGAGTTCTGGAAAGCAACACATAAGCTCTAAACCAAGATGGTCTCACTCAGATCAGCAAAGTGTAGATGAAACACATTTCTTTATTTCCAACACAATACTATGTCCATATTTCACCTGCTAAGAGGTAAGAATGTGAAAAGCACTCATGACATATGTCATTCTGGGCAGTTTTTTGAGCCTCAGCATGCCAAGATGCCCCACTGAGACTTTCCCCTAAACCAGCATGATGCCCTGGCTCCCAACTCTATGAATAAGATGTAACTTTTTTTCAACCTCAATTCAACCTCAGTTCATAAAATCATACCTTCATCTCATTCATGGTGGTGAGTGGTGATCGAGACATTCAGGAGAAAATTGGACAACAGTCTATCACATATGCTTTGGTTTAGATTCCTGCATTGAGCAAGAGGTTAGGCTCAACTACCTTACAGGCCCCTTACAACTCCATTATTCTATGATTACACACAGTGAAATAGCCATCCAGACAGCAGTCACTTGAAGATAGCAGCATTTATTCCTTTTTTGCCCCTGGACATCCCTCTTTTGGAAACCAGAGCAATCTATGTCACACTCTTGACAACGTGGGTTCTGCATTCTCTTGCTTAGTCTGTGCTCTCAGGTGTAGTTAAATACTTGATGTCATTGTCACTGGTAAAGTAAGATCAACTGCCAGTCCATTTGGCTTGGGTAAGTTAGCCGCCTAGAGTGGTCAAAATTGACCAGATAGGCGGGGTATAAATGGAATAAATAAATAAATAAAATAAATAAATAAATAAGTGGAATAAATGCTGCTGCTAGGTCCACAGAGAAAATGTCTTCAGCTAATCTTGACCTCCCCAAAACACTCTTATTTTATTCATGCAAATACCAATGAGACATTGTTAGTTTATTTTTATTCAAATTACCATTGACATTTTATTGATTCAAGAAAATCTTTGGGCTATTTCACTTTAGATCCTTAGGTGGGTGGTAGTATTCTAGAGATTCAGTTCAGTGGAAAGTAGAGGAAATATATTTTAATTCCTGTATTCAAATTCTCTAAATGGTTTGGGACAATTAATTTCCAATTGTTTCCCAGTAGAGTAGATTTACTTGAACATTAATGAAGCACAGGTGTTAGGCCCCTGGTGTCTTTGTGCCTTGGAGGCATATTTAGGTTGTTTATCTAGTCAGTCCTAGGTACTGCAATGTACTCAAGCTTGCCTTTAACAGTTTATACAGTGAGGGCTTTTATTTTGTTTTATTTTTTTTAAAAAAATTCTAGCACCTGTTAAAATTTTAAAACTGATCATGTAGAAAGATGTGGGAGAGATTGCAACAGTAAACAGCACTAAAAGTTAACGGAAGTTATCTTCTATTATGCTTAACTGCCCAGCTTGATGTTATGAAGAAAAGAAGCTTAATTTAGGCAAATGTGTCATGTGAAGAAGTAATAGTTAGCATTATACTTCCTCATTCCATAATTTGGAATTAGGTATTATTTTAAATAGGTAATGTTTTATCTGTGGGTGAAACCCAAATGCAGTTATATTAATATTCATTTTTCTTGTTTATTCACTGAACTGCAGTACCAACATTTTAGAGGAAATGGAATAGCCTTCACAGATATTATGAATTTCAGTAGCTGGCATAATTATAGTGATCTACATATTCATTAAATTGAGGGAAGAAATGTGTCCAAAAAGACAACCATGCATTTAGAAATAGCACTCAGCTAAATATATACTTTAAAAACTTCCTTTCCTTTTGTTTACCCCAAAATTACTTCATGTTGTATTGCTTCTCAGTCAGCTAACTCCGTAATAATAATTTTAAAAGTTCTTGTCTCTTGTTCTTTCTGTGCAGTAAAGAATGGGAAGAATTATTTGTAAACAACAATTACTTGGCAACAATACGGCTGAAGGGGATTAATGGGCAGCTGAGAAGCAGCAGGTTTCGTAGTGTTTGCTGGAAGGTAAGAGGAAAATATTTATTTACAGCTTGTAGTTGTAATATATCAACACATTACCTGATGCTCTTGAAAACTGTTGATGTAAAGAGGCACTGAATTTTGCCACAACTATCGCCCCAATATCCCTCTATCAATTTTTATTGGTAATTTTTACCTGTTACTAATTTCAAGTACATTATAACAGAATTACTGATCATATTTAAGGACTGCATCAAGGACATTTGTTTTCATATTGGAATATTGAGTCTCAGGAGAATGTTTATGCTCAACGTCTCTCTGACCTGTAAAATGATTTATAAGTATTTGTCTTTGATTTCAAAATGTTTTATTGTATCTCTAGTTTGTGCAGGGTGGAGAGGTATTGAGTAGTTTCCTTGGTCACCAAGTCACATTCAAGTACATACTGAATATAACTGTATTCAGAAATCTTAGTTGTTTTCAGAATTTTATGTTGTAAAAAATAATAGTGAATGGTATTATTTTGGGAAGGACTGTAAGAAGCTCAGGGCAAGCCCAATTCCTTGAACAGTAATGTTAAACAATTTGGGCATACAAAGTAAGAAGACTTCAATGTCCAGCAGTCAGTAGGCCAAATCAATTACAGTATATACCTTCTATAAACAAAAGCACTATGTTCACAGAAGCTACTTTTATGTGATCCAGGAGATACCATATTTTTTGCTCCATAAGACGCAGTTCCCCCCCCAAAAAAAGTGGAGGGAAACGTGTATGCATCTTATGGAGCAAATACTGCCCCCCCAGCCTCATCTCTGCCTTCCCAGGCCTCTGGAGACCACAGAAGGCCCCACCCCACCCCCACCAACACCCTCGGAGGCTTTCCCGGCTTACAAAACACCAAGCACCCAGACGCTTCTCCTTCCTCCTCCTGCTGCACACTGGGTCCACGGAGCTCCTCTGGCCTGCACACCCCACCCAGGGTGTTCAGTGGCTTACTCATGAGTAGACCTGCACCTTTGTCAGCCCTTACTCATGAGTAAACCCACACTTTCAACACCCTCCGACCTTAATTGCCGCTGTTTGAGGTCTTTTGGTAGAAATGGAGACTAAGGCAGGCTAAGGGAATCTAGGCTGCCCTTTGCAAAGATGGCAGCTGCAGCTTCCCTACCTTAAATGAAGCTACAGCTGCCATTTTTGAATAGGGCAGCCAATTTCCCTTTTTATACTCCGTGGCTCTGAGGCCAGAAGACCTCAGCAGTGGCAATTAAGACTATGGTGGCGGTGCCCCCCCCCCACGGTGCCTTCTGAGGCCTCTGGAGGCTTAGGAAGGCAGTGATGGCGGCAGCGGGGGGACCCCCAGGAGGCTTCGGACCGGTAAGGTGCTGCTTTTTACTTTATTAAAATTTTTCTGGGTGGGTTTTGGAGGGTAGGTTTGGGCTGGGAGGCTATGTTTCTATGTTGCTTTGTTTTTTGGTGAGTTTTTTTTGCAGTCCCAGCGTGGGACTTGCACTGTTTATTTATTTAATTGCCCACCCCTGATACAGCGGAATATATTTCCTGTTTTCCTTTTCTAAAAATTATGTGTGTTTTATAGTCAGGTGTGTCTTATAGAGCGAAAAATATGGTAGCTCCATAGTTCATGCCATTTGGGGGGGGGGTCCTTTGCAGATTTTCTGAGGCTGGAAGATATACTTTTAGGGAGAAATCTGATTTTGCAAATTCAATTGTGGTTGCTTAAATCTTACTTGAATCTAAAGATTTGGGGGAGTGGGAAGCATAAAGTAGTATTGATTGTGTATGTATATCTTTAAGATATTGAAGTTGCATATTTGCAGTATTTATTAGATAACAGATATTAGATATCCTGCATATCTTAATGCAGTATCAATCAAGGATACATTTATTTATTTATTTATACAACACATACAACACAGAAGGAAGATGCTCCTTTTCAATGAGTGGATACATTTGGCACTTATGATTCAAGTGACTCCTCTGACCATTTTAGTTTGGTGTAGAAGCATTTGGGTTTTAGAAAGTGTCACCAAGTTCATACAGCCTTTTTGTTTGTCTAAATAACAATGTTTGATTTGCAGCTCTTTCTGAATGTTCTACCATCTGACAGAAGTCAGTGGATCAACAAAACAACCAAATTAAGGACTTTATATAACAAGATTAAAGAAGTTGTAAGTAGAGTTCAAAGCAACATTTTTCCTCTGAAGTTCTATATTTAGTGTGCTTTAAACGTTAACATTTTGAGTCTTATTCCTATCCACAGCATATTACAAATCCTCGAAAAGCTGGACAGCAAGACGTGATGATCAACAATCCGCTTTCACAAGATGAAGGGGTAATGATAATCTCCTTTCTATTTATTATGTAGTGAAATTTCTAAGATCTATGTTGTTAATGAAGTTGAGAGTACACAAATCTTAATATTTATAGTTAATCCAAACTCTCCATTTGATAGAAACACCTGCTTTGTGGTGAGATCTAATATACCCCAAGAAAACCGCAAAAATAAAACCTCTGGGGGTTTATTATCACACTGTTCCTAAGTTTAAAAAATATCATCGCTGAGAATTTTCCATTTACTCTAAAACAATAATCCAAATCAGTAATACCCCACTTACAAGAACAGTGTGTACAGTCTAATGGGATGAGACAGTTGAAAAGGTAGTTTCTCTCTTTAGAGGCATCCATGAATGGGGTGGATGGGTGTATATAGTTTGTTTCTTCATTTGCTTTATTGTGTTTACAGTGGTGAGCCTCTTTGAGCCCATGAATCAACCCCAGAGATGGCCATCCAGGCACTTCCAATTTCATTTTCTCCCATTTTTGGTGATTTTCAGTCATTCTCACTGTAAACAGAAGATACTAAAACAAGTGAGAAATATGTTTTTCCCACCTATCATTAGTATTTGGTGGGTTTTATCCTGAACCTGTGCCATTTAAATGTACCTTTAGGTCCACTATTCAACTGTGTGAGTGAAGCAAAACTATTGCACTTGGAACACCATCTCCAAACTGAGAAAAAAGAGTCGAAGATGCTCTTCTCCAAAAAGTGGGGCATGCTGTGCATTCATCACTCTCAGCTGATGATGGCTTGATGAGCAAGAGATCAGAGCTGGGACTTTGTTTCATTTTCTCAGAGAGTTGCCACCTGTTCATATTCATTTAAAATAAATGTTAATCATCAGCTCTTTTATTTAAACATTTCTGCAATTTAAAAAAAGCTGAATATACCATGATTATTTTTTCCAGTGAATATCAAGTAGAATCAATAATACTGATATATTTCCTGTTGAACTAATGTCTTGTGTTATTTTAAAGTTATGTGTAGGGTTTAGAGGGCAGTTTTATAATATTAGGTGACCATACAAACATTTTGGAAAGATACTGTACTGCATTATGCTACTTTCTAGTAAACTCAACTTTTTTAAAGCTACTTGTGAATACTGATTAGATCCTTCTGCAAATGTTTGCAGCAGCAAAATTGTAAAAATATCTCAGGAATAGCTGTTGCCCTTAATTAGACAATATCTTTATTCCATGGCTCTGTAAATGTAAGTTAGGCATGTTTTAAATGCTTTAGAAGACATGGCTGCCATCATTAAAGTAGCCATACAGTTACATACAGCACTGATGTTACCTGTCTGTCATGGGTTTGGAGGGAAAGTTCCATCCTATGGGGAGTGGAAGGCGGGACATCAGGAGGAGGGGCTGTACTGTATAAATATGTGATGCCTGTGTGGTGAGAGGAGATGCTGAGAGACACTGGGTTGTGACGAAGCAGCAGCTGGGAAGAAGAAGCTGTTGTGGGAGTCTGGGTGTCTGACAGGGTACTACTGTGTGTCAGAGTACCA